GGCAATAGCTATTCCCTTCTTCTCATTGTGAGATACGCAGCAGCTGGGAATTATAGTAAGAAATTAGTCCCAGCCAATTATTTTTGGGGTGAAGCTGATAGCTCCATAGGAGCAGCCTATGGCTACTCCAGATGTAATTGGGCCAGGATAATGGGGACCACACAGCCAGCCCCAAAAGCAGGCTTGCTGCAGGTCCCAAGCCACATGGCCAGGAGTCAGATTTTGTATGCTCCTTTTTACTCCGGTCCTTTGGACCACAGCACGGCATCGGAATGGCTTCCAGTCACATTGGGGTATGTGTTGTTTGAATGCCATGCCCCTGAAACAGCAAGAAGACACTTCTTTTGGCCCATCTGGTTTGGACCTTTGTTTTCCTTTAATCCCAAAATTTCTACCATTTCAGAGTGAAACAGTGAAAATTGTTTACACCTAGAACTTTTATTTGCTGTGTTCATATTTTCTGGTAACATTGCCTGTCCCTTTTCTTGGGATGCCCAAACTGTATGTATAAATACCCAACAGAAGTTTCAAGTAACTATAACACTAGAAAATTGGAGACTGAATGAAAATTTCATGGGAGCAGAATTTTTAATTGGGACAATACTCTCATTTTCTCTCCCCACCCCAGAACTACATTCTTGAATAAAGCCTTTCTTGTTGATTTGTTTTAAAATTCATCCGTAAGCCTTTTTAGAGGTGAAATATTTGCATAGCCCTTACCGCCAATGTGTCTGCCCTTGATAATCAGGCATGTTTTAAAAAAGTTCTCTATTGCTTTTCTACAAGATTTGCATTTTACAACTTTTTTAACAGTTCTTCCAGACAGATCTGATAATTTTTATTGTAGACTTCTACTTTCAGATTCTATTAATTATAATATTTTTAAGATGGCAAAATCCTGCACCCTACTTTTGCCTACTAGGTACCAACTGGTTAAACCCCTTAGTAATTTTATCAGAAGTAGCAGGTCCAACTATGGTCTGCACTGAAGACACTATGTTTTTGTCATTTTATTTACATACATTAGACTTTTCCTAGTTTTGTAATCTGTACCTGTTCATTTTGTATTTGTTTATTTTCTAGCTGTAGAGGCTGGTTTATGTTTTGTGTACATCATCACCCATTCTGAGCTTTCAATCACCTCTTTGCTTTATAAGGAAGTGGCAGAACACTACCATGATCATATCGAGTTTCCTGCTTCTTTTTTTAACCCACTGATTATATTTTTGTCCTTAAACTGTTGTAATCCAAAAGACATGAGCTGTTATGTTAGGATGTACTTCAATTTGAACTGAGCATACTGTAACAAAAATGCTAACAAAATTTCTGTTTGCTTTTTTTTAAAAAAAAAACACAACTTTGTTAGCCACTGCCCTGTCTCAGTTCTAACATCTGATATGCAAATGGCAATACATCTTAGAAACTCACCTTCATTAACTTCATCACTCTCCTTGTCCACTTGAGCTTTCAATACATATCGCTTAATAAGCCGTTTCATAATTTTCTAGGGAAGAGAAGAGAAGCAGAAAAACCATGCTAGTATTGATTCTCTCATCCTATTAATCAATAGATTTACTTAGAACTTCAATGGAGCCTGCTCTCATGTAATTGTGCACAGGATTGTAACCCAAAACTCAAGCTTATTGTTAACCCAGAAATATAATGAGACTTAACTGTCTAGTAAATCAAACCTAAGAACCAGAAAGTGTCTCTCGGCTTCAATACCAGCAGGCATTGGGAATATGTGATTGGGAACACATGATGGGGAAAGGCAAGAAAGTAAACAGAAAGAGGAGTATCAAGGTCAATACTGGGCTTACCAGATACCCATCTTATAGTGCCCCTCAGTTAAACATAATGCCCCTCAATTAAAATTTACCACCCAATCACTGATACCACCTGGAAGTTGTGGTCTCTTGCAAATAGCTTCCCATTTCTACCCTTGCTGCTGGAAAAAAGCAACATCTTGTGGCTAGTTAACATATCTAGGTCTGAAGTTGGAGTGTGATACAAACAACCCAGATCGCCCAATGTTCATGACAGGGCCCTAGTACAATTGCACTAGGGGAATTTGCTCCCTGGAGCTTGGAAGTTCCCTCCTTCTTTTCTTCCTTTGGAGAACAGCTTCCAGAATTTTTAAAAAATCATTTGCACAAAAATGTGTTTCTTGCACAAGAAACTTTTTTTTACAGTTTCCTAAGGGGGGGATGTGATGCACACAAAATACACTGTTTTCTATACACACACACACCCAAAAAAATCCCTAAGGATATAACTCCTTGACTATTTCATACTCACATGCAAGGACAAAATAATCATAGTAGTTTTCTTCCAGCTACAGGAGAAATGAATACTCTTCAGCAGTATTCACCCTGTATTTAAGCATCCCATAATGTTATGGAAGAATTTTTCTGCTCAGAAAAATGTGTGGTAGGTTTTTTGTTTGATTTTTGTTTGTTTGTTTGCACAAAACCTGTTTTCTGCAAAGAGACAAATTTTCTGTGAAGAAAACACATCTTTTT